CATGTATGAGACATTCAACAAAAACCATCATTTTAAAGAGAACCTCATAACAAATAATTAAACAATCTGTGTTTTGTTTCCTTCTTTGCCGACTATACCAAAATTCTATGCAGTATCTTGTTTTTTCTGGTCAGGAACAGGACCGAAAAAGAAGGATTATGAAAAATTTCAATCCGTAAAATTTTCACCTCTACCGGTCGATTGATCTTTTTTACTATCGATCCGGTTCTAATGTTGATATAGGCCGATAAATAATGAGTTTAAAGAACTGATTATGAGTCCAGTTTTAGCCTCACGCAATGCTGACGATATAATAACAAGAATAGAATAAATAATGATCCTAATGGATATCGAGTTCAAAATTAAAATAAAAAAAAACTTTGAAATAGTAAAGAACTGTTAAAACTAATTCACTCAGAAGAAAAATACAATTGTGAAACAACAATATCAAAAAAGACATAGAAAATATTTTACTCTGTTCTGTTTCAATTCTTTAGCGGCTTCTTAAACCCCATTTCCATCTGTTTTATTTATATTTTTCAATAAACAGCTTTGAAAAGACCAGTAAAATGAACTATATATAATTATCTTTGTGTTTCTCTTTGGTTCGTTAACTAAGGGAGACCTTTTCATTGCTCGTTTATCAAAAACGAAAATTATAAATATTTGAAGGTGAAAAGCTTTGTTTTTTCGCAAATAAAGTACGTGACACTGTCGTATTTTCCTTTTAGTTTCAAGCGAAAGTCTCCTGATTTCTTTTAGAATCGTCTCCTGATCAACTCCTGTGTTTTAACGAAAAAACCGTGTTTCCTAAAATTTGTATTTGGCAGCCCTGGTATACACGAACGATCTACATTAATAATAGGAAAAGTAAGTATCATGAAGCGATAAAAAACATGTATGACAGAACCTGATTTATGCAATTTAATTGTTGAATCATTATGTGCAAGGTGACATAAATCAAATAAAACTATTCAAACAGAGTCCTATCAAAAATAATATCTTCTTTTCGAGCAATATTTCTTTAACTTAATTCAAAAAACTATAAATTATTTTCTTTTCTTTTGTAAAATTCATCAAAAATCAATAACAGATGAAGTATTTAACAATTATTTTTTAAAAGTTTCTAATGAAAATTATGAAATTAAATATAATTTTCTAGAAAAAAAAACCCAGAAGACTTTTCTTTTTTTCAAAACAAAAATTTTATTCACTGAATTATTTCAAATTTTCCAATTCGATGATTTGCCAAATCCGCAACACAAAGATTTCTTTCATTGTCAAAAGATAAACCACGGGGATGATTCAATTGATTTGGTTGATTTCCCCTTCCATTTCCACCAACTACAGTTTCACCTTCTTCTTTTCCTTCATACCAACGCATTACTCGATGATTCCACAAATCTGCCACATAGATATAATCCAAATCATCAACAATTATTCCTTGAGGTTCAGATAATTGATTGAGATTTTTTCCTTGACCATTTCCTCCAGCCACAATTTTGCCTTCTTTTGTATATTTTCTCCATTTCATCACACGATGATTGCTTCGATCTGAGACATAAACAGATTGTTCTTCATCAACAAAGATAAAAGTAGGAAAATTGAGTTGATTGAGTTGATCTCCGTGCCCATTTCCACCTGCCACTACAATTCCTTCATTGTCATATTCTCCTATTTTCCATCGTCTCACTTCATTCTTCCTCCAATCAGAAACATAGAGAAATCCATGTTTATCCATTACCAAGCCCCAACAGTCAATATTTTCAATAAGAATTTGTTGATTTTGATTCAACCATTGAATCACTCGTCTGTTCCCACAATCAGCGATGATGATCGAATGATTTTGTTGATCAACAATCACATCTGTTGGTCGATCCAATTGTTCTACTCGATTTCCTTGTTTATTTCCACCTGCAATGATATGTCCTTCTGTTGCATTATGTTTCCATTCAACAATACGATGATTCGAAGTATCAACAATGAAAATATTTTTCTTCTTATCAATAAAGATCCCATAAGGGCCCTTGAGTTGATTTAATTCTTGTCCTTCTCGATGTCCACCAGCCACAGTGATAGCATTTTGTTTCCATCTATTAAATTTTGGTTCTAAAAAAGGGATGCAAACAAATAATTTTGATGAAAAGAAGAGGAAGAAGAAAATTTGGTTTTATTTTTGTCAAAGTTGCATTTTGAATGAATTGCTGTTAAAAATGTTTAGTGAAAAGAAAAAATTTATTTATTTTTTTGTTGCATTTTGAAAAGAATTTTAATAAAAATTAATCGTTTATTGTTTTTTGAGTAAAATTTCGTCATATAAAATAAAGAAACATTTTATTTAAAAAGGAAAAGAATTTGAAATTTACTTTTTTGCGAATCGCAATTTTGAAGAGAAATAAAATTTTATTGAGAGATAGTTTATTTTTGAAACAAATCCACAAATATTTAACTTGAAAAGAAAATAGAAATTGAAAATGAGAAAAAGTTGTTTTTGATTTATGTTTGTTAAATAAAAATGTGAGAAAAAGAAATCTTCTACAAATCATTTCTTAAAAACTTACTTTTTGATGAAATAATTGAAATTTCATTGATAAATGATTGTGAATCTTGTTCTATAGAAATATCTGATGGGTTATTTAATTCTTGTGTAATTTCTACTAACTGGTTTTTTAAATAATTTAAATTAATTTCATTAAATTCATTTTCTTTATAAATTTGTTTTATTTGTGTAGATAAATCATTAAATTTCTTTTCAGTATCGTAAATAATTATTTGTAAAGATTTAATGACGATTTCTCTACAATTTTGTGCTTTTTGTTGAATTATTTCAATTGAATTTGTTTCCCATTGATTAATTTGTTTTATTAATGAATGCTTTTGTAGATTTTGTGGATTTTGTTTTTGTTCATTAATTTTTTGTTTAAATTGGTCATAATCATTAATAATATGATTTAATTCATCATTTAACATTTGTTGATGTTCTGGTAAATGTATTAAACAAAATTCTTTTGAACATCCTCTACAAGGATATGTTATTTTTTCTTTTTTGCATGTAAAACAGTGTGCTTTATTGTTTGCCATTGCCATCTCGTTCAATATAACTTTATAGAAGAAATCTAAAAAGAATTTTGTTGTAACAAAATCTTACTGGTAAAACTGATGTGATATCTAAAATGGTTGGACAATTTGATAGTGAGTTCTCATTAATTCACAATCACATTCAAGAACGCTTATTAAAATTGACTTAATCTCATTGAGACCTACATAGAACAGAAAGATGAATTCGAAAGATCCGAATCAGTTGTGCTGGTACTCATATTAGTATATCTTTTTCTTTTTATTCTAAAATTTTTTATCTCATCATTGCAAGGATAATTTAAGAGATCTATCTTATCAATATCATCACTTAACTTTTGTAGAACTTGTCCTTCTATTTCTGAATCACCTAATTTGTAATGGTTAGTTGAATTTATCCTTGTTAATTGACTCATGGTGGACTAAAACACCAGGAATATCTTACAAATAAGAAATGAAACAATAATACTCTTTCCTCAAATACCTTTGAAAAATATATCATCGAAGAAAACGTTTGATAAATACACACTAAACACACCTAAATACGAAGAAAAAAACAAATATAAACATGATATTTTTTCTCTTCTTATTTTTCTTCTTGAAAATACCTTTACAAACCATATTTTTTTTGATTTCGTCTTCGTTTGTGTAATGTAAAGTGATTTTTGTATGATGATTTGATATATCTGTTTTCTTTCTATGCTCGACAAAATTTCGACACAGAAAGAAAAAGAATGTACAAACATTGAATCATTATTTGTTTCATTCAATTTGTTTGTCTTTTTCAAATAAATATTTTGTAATACGACAAAAAAAACAGTTAATTAAGTTGTAATATTCCACATGAGAATGAATCGAAAGAAAAATAGAAGGAAAAAACCATCGTGAGAGTGTTGATTTTAGATTTATCTATTTTTATGCTATTACTCACATCCACACCCACACTCAAATATATTGGAGTTCATTAACATCCTTTCACGTTAGTAAGCTAGGTATAATATCAAGATTATCGGAACACAAAACAACAAATTTGATGTGTACATCGAATAACATAAATATTAGGCTTCACATTCCATTAACAAAACTGCCTTGTATCAAAATCTTTTCGGTCCGAAACTATCTTTCATTTACAATCGGTAATACTTTATTGATGTGTATATATAAGAAACGAAACTGTTAATTATACATGTATATTGATAATAATGAAGTATCCTATAATCTAACTTTCTTTCTGAAACTTCGATTCTTTTATTTAATCGAATTTTCTCTGAAGAATCGTTGTTAAAACAAATATAATTGTGATCAAACATGAACAAGTTTTAATTCAAGTATTCGTTACGGAATTGCAAAATCAATCATTCTCTCTTGCTGTAACTATATCACTACAAAAATGGACTACCATTAGAAGATTTAACAGTTTAGCTATGAATGTAATACTCATTTGGATCTTCATATTTTTTTGTGATATAAAGATGCCAATGAAGAACAACACGATTTACATGTTTCTCTCTTTTTCTCGTGTTTTGATTTATTCATCTACTGAATCTTTCTCTCAGGGATCATTATAGAAAAAATATGATTATGATGAATTAGAAATGAGCGAACAAGTATTGTTTCAATCACTCTCTGAGGATTTTTCAACGAGAGATCATTATCATCATTTGTTGTTACTATATATAAGTATTGAAAATCTACTGATGATAGTATATATAACAATTGAATATGAATATAACAGCATATACTTCACTTCTTCTACTTTATATTATAATCATCATGATGAAGTTTGATTATATTGATGGTATATATTATTTATTTAAAAAAACTCCAACAATCTCTGTGTATTTATAGGTGAATCTAGGAAATGTTCTGAACCAGAATATTCACCGTTATGTATTTGTCGTTCAACATATCGACATTCGATAAATATTGATTTATTTCTTGCTACATTATCACTTTCTCCATGTAATAATTCTCGTTCGAATCAGCAATGTCGTCAGAGTCAATTTCATCCACCTTTATTTCATATAACTCAACTTATACCAAAACTTGCTAATCTTTCACATTGTTTTCAACAACTACATTGTCTTCAACCATTAAAGTCTGTACAACGTTGTAAACAATGTTATTTAACATCATCAGTAGTAACACATAATAATTCATATTATACCAATAGAACGTTTGATAATCTTCCAACTGATGCATGTTTTTATCTTTGTCAATATGATACATCATGTGGTTTTCTTTGTCTTAACCAACATGTGACAATATCAATCAATTGTAATATTTGTCAAGGACATAGAAAAAACATAACTTGTCGGTAAATAAAATTACTTGAAATTCAAAAACAAAAATAATTAATATCAATATATTCTTCTTATAGTTGTATTAAACCTAAACAATCAGCAGTATGTCTTCAGTCATCTTTGGAAACTACAACAGAACCTTGGATGCAAAAACGTGGTTTTCCAGCAGCTGCTTATCTTCTTTTACTAATTTTATTTGTCATCATATTAGTTATTACAATTAAACTAATCTATTATCAATTAGATCGATGTCAACTTAGATTTATTAATCATTCAATATTTTCTAATCAAGGTCAACGACTATCACGTAGTTCTTCTAATGTATTACAAATTCCTCCTACATAATTAGAGAATGAAATGAATATTTTATTAAAGAAAAAAAGAAAAATATAAGAA